TCTGATCGCCGTGTGTTTTTCAACGACTCGATCCGCGTCTGCCGCGTGGAAATGTATTAGCCGTGCAACACGTAATTCGTGGATCTTTCGATCTCCTTGGTGTGTCTTGAAACTGGAATAATTTCCATGGAAATCCAACTCTGAGAACGATACTTCGTGGCGATTCGAACGTAAAAGGTTTCGTCGACCCTGGTCCAATAATAGATATTACTTAATTGCACACGCGTGGGTACGCTGCAATCGATGCGCGAGCCGATTATCAACCGCAATATCCGATCTATCGCACACGCGCAAAGTTGATTATGCATATATCGTTCACAAGGTATCTTGATTTTTGTCCATGGAATCAGCTGCTTCTCTATAGTCCAGAACACACGAAAACACAACGAAAAAAGTAAGCAGCCAGTTGTCGACGCTCGGCGATTAACGAGCACATTCAGTTTCGAATTCGAGTTCTTGTTATCTTGAACGCATTCGAGGCGCGATAACACGCGCCTCGGAACGGTCCATGGCCCACAGAGAAACGACATGAACCCGTACGAGGAGAGACCGGACACCGATTACAACACGAAAAACAGGCGGCACGGCGCGGTGGTTTGGTCTCGGCCGCAGCGGGAGTCGATTCACCCCGCGGCCGCGGCCATGAAAATATTACCAGAAGGCCTCTTCGGTACAGGCCGTATACACACGCGGAACCTTCGAGCCAGTTGCTCGCGCTACGAACACGATGCACCGCGTGGGGTACGGTTTCGGAGTGCCTTGTAAATTACGCCCGAACATTAGATCCGATCGGGTGCTCGCGGTCTCTCGCGCGTTGTTCAAACACAGCCCCCCCCCCTGAGTCATCGACATCGAAGGACCGAGTTATCGTCCAACAGCACGTTTAATTTGCCGTTTAATACAACATTATTATTATCGCCACGGTCGCAATAAACGAAAATCTGAAGACGCTAAATCCGTTGCCGGTAATAAAGATGAAACGATAACTCCGGATGTTTAACGATTGATCACCTTTTATCGTCGTCTTTCCTGTAAGCGGCTAATAATCCTTTACGAGCAAAAAGTATCGAGATAAAAACCGGTATTACTGACGGTACGAACGGACATTAATCACTTTCAAGATGTTGACTGATCAGCTGATTTTAAAGAAACACGCATTCATTAACAGCGGGAACAGTTACTATTTACAGACTGTCTGATGCTCGTGCGTTATTGCCGGGAGGAATAAGAGTAATTGTTGCGAAAACAAGGACGATGCGATCGGTGGGCGATAGCTGTTGCAAAAATCGTGCGAAAGGGCAAGTTTAATCGATAACACGATCCAATAACGAGTGTTCTGACTAATCCAAACGTCAAAGGCCTATCTCTTCGCTAGGCGAACCGAGGGTCTAGAAAAAAAAAAAAGAGAAACGTGGCACATGGTGCAATTTCCAGTAATCGGATAATCGTTATCGAAGTCGAACGCTACTATCTCTAGGCGAGCGATTCGTCCAACGAATAAAAACACCGTGTCCGCGAATAAACGCGAATCACGGAGTACGAAAGCTGCTGGGGAGGAGACGTGGACGAAAAGAGAGAAAAGAAGACGAAAACAGCAGTGGTTACCAAAACGCGGGTTATTCGAGACAGCGCGGAAAGAATGAAAAAAGTAGACGCGTCTGTTAACCGTGACTGGAAATATTGCGGGATCGAGCGACCAACCGCGAATCGAACCCCCCTCGAGTTCGATCTAATTACATTTCGTACCCCTTTCGATGAATCGTGCCCCTTGCTCCCCCTACTCTCCTTTCGTATTTCGAACATGCGAACCGCAAGGGAGGGTATAAACAAAATAAAGGAAATTCGTGACGCTTCTGCAATCCTCTAAATGCTATAGGCGCATATACCGGGTGGCCCGTTATTACTAGTAGAATCGGCAATGGCGTGGTTCTTCCCGAAAAAAATAAATAAAGACACTGGAAGAAAACTTGACTCAAACTTTGACCGAAGGAAAAAAGATACGCTGTTCTATTTGCCATAAGTAGAATCGGCTGGTAGTGGACAGACGTGTTAGACGAGTTGTACTCGATAGCACGTGTACTTTAAATTTTCAGTCATTTCCTGCAAAAACAATTTCATTACAGGTTTTACATTTTTTTAGCTAAATTCTTCTATCTATTCTATTCTATCTTGCATTAGTGCAATAAGTAAACATGGTACAAACTGTGGACGCAGACATGTATCTGTCGAAATATTACTATCAAATAACGTACGTCCCGAACGAAATTGGACGAATTAAATAATGTTAATACAATTTTATCCATTATACGTATACATGAAAAAGATTCGTACGCGACTATTGCCTGTCAAAAATGTAGCTTTGAGCAGGTAATAAGCAGAAGAGTTTCGTCTGGTCCGATGGACGTTACCGGTTATATACCAAGCACAGAAGGACAATAATGCGGTTAGCGGGTGACGTTCTTCCTAAGAAACGCTTCGGTTTAGTGTACCACAGAAAAGAACCGTTAGGGTACTAAACTTTTATTGCGAACCTCCTTTGCTTCGAAGCTGACCGTCTTCCTTGCGGCACAGAAACTAATCGCCGCGAGAAAAGTTGGAAAGGTACGGGACGAGAGGCTTAAACTTCCACCAACACACTCACCTGTCCGAACGTAGAAAACCGCTATTAACTGCCACTTTACTAAACGTGATGCACATAGTACAAGCGAAGCTTAAACGATTCTTGCCACTAGTAGCAGGGTCACTGATAATTTACATTTAGATAATGTCCATATAAAGGGCTGCATATTCTGAGTGACTTAAAACTTTAAAAGAGATCAATTTGTCACAACAGTTCGCGAATAAATTTTTCCGAGGAAGTTATTACTCAATGTCAGATTCGATTGTAGAAAATGTTTTTTCTTTCGAATTTCTTTCTTTAACAAACGATCACGATCTTTATCCTAAATCATCGACAAGCCATACCACTGTGAATTTTCATTACCTTCTTAGGAAAGGAACGACCGTTAATTTTGCAGTTTCGTTTTCCAGAAAATCTAGTCTTAATGAAATTTGTAAAATCGAAGGAAAAGGATTTAGGAAAAAACGCTCGTGGTCTGTAACAGACATCGTGTTATACCAGTTGTTACTGATCTTTGCAAATAGGTTTTACCAGCGATAATTGTTTGATATGCACGCTTGAATGACTAACGACTAATGTATACCGCTACGAAGGAAAAACTACGAGAAATCACGGCAAGAAAAACGATAAGAAATCCCGATTCACGGTCGCCTGATAATGCCAGGGCTGCACGAACCAAGATCCAGCCACTACTGACAATGTAAACAAAACTAATCCATAATGAAGCGTGCATATACCGAGGTCGCCTGTTACTCGCTGACACGCTGAACTCTCGAGATATCAGTCTTTCCACGATATTCATTATCGTACAAAGAACATTCACTGTTGACTTCCAATTTAACGAAGCTTAAAACCTCATAGAACTATGTTTACACCAGCTTGTTCAGCCGATTACAAAATCTGTATACTTTCGTTTCTCGTATCATACAGTGACATTTGGTCACCGATGACCAATTGGTCTTTGCGTAATTTACATAAAGGAACATCGTATTATGTCTCCCATGAAGTTTAACCAATTTCGCCCGTCTCTGATGTTGGTAGCTATAGGATAATTTGTTGAGTATATACGCTAGAAAAGTTTGTCGGTGCCATCGTGAAACAACCTGTATAGAATAGTAAAACGCAAACAAAATCGAGAAACAAACGGTGGGTCTAGCGTGATAAGTTCGCGAAGGGCCAGGGCCGAACGGAGGGCGGGAGGAGCAAGAGGAAACGCGAGGGTCACAGAGAAAGAGGGAGGCACAGTGAGCGCGCGAGAGAGGGAGACGAAGAGAAACGGAGCGAGTTGGCAGCATCTACGAACCTATAAACACGCGGCGCACACAGATCGAACGCAGCCACGGTTGTCGGTCTCGTAACCGTGGTACAACGACCCCTGGCCTGCCGTCGAACGCGCCTTCCTTCGAGCTAATTACGATGCTCCGACGTATCGTCCGCCTCGAAAAATTTCTCGTTCTCCCACCGCCCCCCGTCCCAAGTTTTCGAAAGTTACAATCGTCGATAAGCACACTCGCGAGTCGATTTCGATGGTGCTTTCGAGTTCTTCCGTCGAATATACAGGTGGCTCCTCCCGACGAGTCCGAGCGAAGTATATCGGGAGAAAAAGACTATTCGAAGCGAAGAGTCTGCTCGAACGTAAACATTGCCGAAGCGAAAGATGTACAAGCAGTTTCAGGATGACACGGAAACTTTTTTTGAAACATTCTCCGTGGGCCTGTTTGACCAGAAAGAGTCATACAACCACGCTATGCGACTATCACAGATTGTTTACTAGTTATACGAGAATTGAATACTGGTTTAAGTATAGGAACTTGTTGAGGGCGCGACAAGGGCAAACAATTCTTATATCACTAGCGAATCCTGATAATTCCCCAATGTTTGCATAGCCTTTTTCGTTTAGAATGTACCTGCCAAATATCCTAAGGAAGTTTACTGATTTCATGTTTGAATATCCTGTACTTGATAAAGATATAATTGCGTGATTGTGAAGTAAACACTTGTTTAACTAAAATAGAGTTTAAAGAATTCTTACGACTCTCAGTAAAGCCTAAAACACTCTATTGCTCTCAAGTCTTTACTCCAATATCTGCGAAATTAGTATTCAAACTCTTAGTCAATTTTAGGGGCACCCTATGTGTCTAGCATCGAGAGTAACTATCAACAAACGGCGGAAACAAGTTTAGAGTGGAGACAAAAAAAAAAGCAACGCACGAATTTGTAGACTACATTGATATCAGCGAGTTGAGGCGACTGTATGCTATCAAGGTACAACTAGTTTCTCTCCTGTTCCACCTCTCGATCCTCCCGTCTCTGCTCCTGTTCCACCACCTCCTTGAGGCGTTCCACGAACGACGACAGAAGCTATCTCGGTCTCACTCACCTGTCAGAACTCTCGGAGCTGTCGTATCGATCCGCGCACCGCTTCTTGCCGTAAGGGCCGACGAGGGTGTCCTCGGCAGTCCTAACCTGTCCTTTGAAAGGACTGCCCTGATGCCTGACTGCAGCCATGCCGTTCCCGGTAACACCAGCGGCACCAGAAGCAGAAACAGCGGCAGCGGCAGCAGCACCACCACTACTACCACTACTACCACTACCAACACTACTATCATCACTAGCAATGTCGTCCGTCTTTCGAGCGGCGTCCTCGTCGTCGACACCTCTCTCGATCCCACCGTTATCGCATCCGAGACGATTCACTTTCTGTAACGCGTCCGCGTCCTCAAAGTCCTCATCGTCATCCGCATCGTCCACACGATAGTTCGGCCCGTTCGACTCGTGAAACACGGACCTCGATCGTCGACCGTCGGCCGAGGAGGTGGTTTTGTCACCACGAGACGCGCTACCACCACTGGTCATCGTAGCACCCTCAGCACCACTGCTACCACTATTATTACTACTACTATTACTGTTACAGCTCTCCTCATTTATCACTGTCTTTGCTACATCGTTACGAACACTGGAACGGCACTTCTTCGAAACACCATTTCCATCCACCGATCTATCCTCGTCTTCCTCTTCTTCTTCTTCTTCTTCTTCTTCTTCTTCTTCTTCTTCTTCTTCTTCTTCTTCTTCCTCCTCGTCCTCGTCCTCGTCTTCCTCGTAATCCCCGCAAATCAGTGACGCGAACGGAGGAAGAACGCGCTTCGTATCGGCACCAGCACTGTTAACACTCTCGATTTTACTAACGCGCTCGTGACCATCCACGACGACCTCGTTGTTGTTATCGTTGATGTTTTCGCGATCGCAACGATGAAAATTATTATGATGATGATGATGATGATGATGATTGTTGTTATTGTTGTTGGTGTTACTGTTGTTGTTTGGATGCCGACGAAGAAGATGGGGATGAGTATGACAATTACGACGGGGAGGACGATGCTGATGCAGTTGATGCTGTCGATGATGAAGATGACTCTCAGCCACCAGAGCGTCTTCGTGGATGCGTCTCGCGGTGTCCAGACCCGTGCTCGGGGACGTCATTGGGAATGGGCCGTCCTGACGTTTGTGTCGGTCCCTCGTTAAACGAAAATCACTGTCCCCCAGGTCGGTGGCCGCGTCTTCCGCGAACAGACCGTCTGCCATCTTGTAAACGAACACACTACTATCTGGCAGAGGCCCTATGGCACGAGCACGGGCCGCGCCACCGCTAGCTCGCTTCTACGGCCCGGCACGGCTCACTTACTTAACCCCTCTTTTCTTCACCGTACAAAACCACCGCCACCTCTCGCCGACGGCTACCCACTGACGACGACCCCCACTCCGCAAGCCGTCGACGCCTGCAAGCGAAGCCTCGCGACGATGCCCGAACACCGCCGATCGGCTCCGAACCCGTACGCATACCCTCTCCCTTGGTCGTAATTCGAACCATTAGACCGCCCTCTGCCGATCGTTTCTTCCATCATCTTACCGCGGGAAAATTCGAACAATTCAGACACGACAGCCAAATTGAGGAACCCCGTACAATACTGACACAACGCATTCAAATGGAAATGTTCTTCTATTTTGTGTTAGACTCTGGGATTGGCTTTCTGAATCGGTATGGATCGATTATATTGGGTAAAATGAATTATAAACAAAAATTACTATGCAGATACCTCAGAGACATTAATACAAGTTACAGCAAATACTATGATTTAGCTGCAGTGTATGATCTAAAATGCGCTTCTCGCGTTGTAAAAGGTCAAGTGAAACACACAAATATTTCTGTAGTAGAGTGGCAATAACCCTTGAATTTTTTTTCAGCAAAAGCTAATTGCTTGTTGTACGAAGATATATGTATGTACTTATGTTGCTGAAGATAATTATTCTTTTCTAACACTACGTTCTAGTTTTAGGTAAACGTTTAGTTAATGATTGGTGTCAGTAATTCGATGCAAAAAATATTATATTCTATTGTTACAATCACCATAACCAAGATAAAAATGTAAAACAGCTTATAACAGCTTATAACAAGCTTTATAACAACATGACGGTTATTATTGTTGAAGGATTAAAGGATACATGATATCGTGACTTAAATATTCTGTATAAATAATAAGGAAAATGAAAAACAAAGGCACCTTTACACGGCGCTACATTTCAGTTTATTAAGGACACGGAGGTGTGGTTGTGAGGCGATTAAAATATAGATATTCCTTGTAAATACAGTAGGCATTGGAAACTCACTCTTTTTTATTCAGACGAAATTAAAATTTTTTTTAGACATTCCGAACAAGTATTTCGGCAGTATAATACTGTTGAACGAATTGCTGATCCATGAGCACCACAGGATTTATTCACGCCCTGGAATGTAATTCCAAAACGAAAGACAAACTGTCTAACGTGAATTATGTACAGGCAATTCTGAATGTTAATTATTTTACGCAATTTATACCTTTCAGCACACGCGTATGTAGTGTGCCTGCACGATACACGCAACTGCACCGTTTCGGAATTCTCGCGACTAGTATCTTGTCGAATCTTCACCGTATAAAAAGTAGTGTCGTGCGATTGCGGTGTTCGGGTGTGTCCCCTAAAATTTCCACGCTTCTCGCGTATTGCGATTCGCGGCTGCGTTACAGTCGTTGCAAGCGTGTGAGAATTCGAAATTACGTGTTACGAACATAACATGCTTATCGAATTAACGTTACTCCGTATATGTGCGATCGTTTTATCGACTTTGTCACCGACCTAAACTCTTTTACGACTCTTGGAATGTGCGTGTACGAAAACGCGTTGCTTTAAAGAAGTACTATTTTTAAACATACCACCGTTTTTTTTTTGTGGCCCAAAGTGGCATAAACTCGAGCCACTTAACGATAAACGTAATGTTAGGTACCGGTTTTTAGTTGGATACTGATAGCCACAAAGCAAGCAGTTTTTGTGTCTTCTTCCATATCTGAAATACACATAACGTTTGTGGTTTTCGTTTGTCCGAAACTTCCTCGGCAAAGTACGATTTCCGTAAGACTTTGAAACGAAGGAAACGGGATAAAAAAAAACATTCTAAAATCTATAATTTCACACTATTCCCTACTATCTGTGTTCTCTCCCATTTTCTACTATCGACACTGATCGAATTTAAAAAAAATGACTATTACAACTTTGCAACTGTTACAAATGAATCTACATTTTAAAAGCTTTCGTGTTTCGATTCACAGCTTCGACTCAAATAGCAGCACTTACTAAGCGTAGATGTATAAAATTGAAATACCGTACGGCAACATTCGGTTGACAACGTTTACGCGATTATTGTCACTTTATAGATACGTAGAATTTCGTTTGAGAGGTATACCGGTATATACAAGTCCACGGTTTCCAGCAGTGATTATTCTCATGCCTGCACTTATGCGTCAAGAACTTAATCTTTGAGTAGCGTGTATAATGTTTAGTCGTCTGTTTTAATGTGTGCTCGTCGGGCCGACTAGCGAACCTTAAAAGTTACAGAATACACGTTTCAGTTAACTTTCCCAAATTGTAAAAAAAACTTCTGATGCGTGTAAAAAGTTTAGTACCAGTCTTCTATGCGTGCAACTAACTGCAACCTACAGTGTTCTGTTTTCTGAATCAATCTTTCGTTACCGAAAACCAAAGCTACGTTGCGTCCGTCGACGGAATGTTTGTAAGCTGATTTCGCCTACCTTTGTAACTAACTGTCGATTTTACCTGACCTTGGTTCGCACATTCCGAAACCTTCGTAAGTGTTCATCACCGAATAACTTCGTTCGATTCTTCCGATAACATCGTGCTAGGTAAAAAGTTCTTATGTACACTAACAAATGATTCGACGTTTGACGGTTGTAAAGATGCGTCAAATATCGTATACTTTCGTCGACCATTGAACTGGTCGGTAGTCTTCCTATATAAATATCGCTGGACACCGGTCGGATATCGAATTCCTCCGAATCCATTCCGCGATCAAAGCTATACTTCAAAATAGAGCCACGGATAGCTCTGCTAAAGGTGATCGGTCTTGACCTTATCGTCCTGATTCAACGGCCCCATGGACACTCGCGAAGTGTTCGCCATCTCCGATAACAGAAGGTGCTCAGTGTCTAAAGGACTCTTCGATTGTCCGCTGAGTAAATTGCCGTGACCGCTGGTGCTCCGGGCCAATCTTCGAACCGCCCTGTCCCGCCTTTCCTTTTCCCTCTCCAACTTCAACTTCGTGAACTCGTCGTCGGAGTTGCCGCTGGCGCAGGAAGAGCTAGCGGTGCTGATGAGGTCGTCCGCGATAATATCGCTACCGATGTAACTGGTGGCTGGTTCGAAGGCGACACTGGATCGCGCCGATTCCGTGGTCCTATCCACCCTGGATATTGGAGAATTTCATTCAGAAACCAGGAAAATAAGCTTGGCAAAGAAAATCATTCTGGGATATGACTAAACACGAAATTGCATCGAACAGATGAATATATGTTTGTCAATTTCACTAACCTTGATCCTGACACGTATCTCCTATCATTGTCATTACCAGCACCATCGCCATTACTTCCCTGCAAGGGTAGACCGGTCACTGGTGCGCTGTACGAGAAAAGTTCCCCGTTCCTTGAGTAATCAGAACCGGGTACAGCGACCGGAGCACTCGGAGGCGGTGGTCCTGGCGAGAATATGCTCTGCACGTGCGGTCTCTTGTCCGATTTCATCGATGTCAGGGTCATCTGCTCGTCCGCCTCCTCTTTGATGACCCCTATCCTCATCGATCCACCGCCGACTGTTTGAAAGTGTTTTCACCATAAATTAATCCCATGCCCGGCGGAACTGGTAAACCGATGTTTGATCTTTATAAGCAGATGGGAACGACTGAACCTACCGACTGCCCGGTTCTGCAAAGAAGAGGCGGAACTGGACGAAGCAATCCTCCCCGGTGTTTTGGTACCGCTCGTCATGCTGCCGTCCGGCCTATCCTCTTTGCTGAACAACCGTTTCAACACACTAGTTACACTGTTGACTCTCGTTAGAGAACCCCCCAGGTTGCTGGGAGTCGAGCCTCCGCTCAATGTGCGATCTCGATTGCTCACTCGACTGGCGCTTCTACAAGTAAACATACACTTCCCGTTTCGTAAAAAATGATCTTTAAGAGCATCAACGCCTGGTTTCGTAACCCGCACGAGGAACGTGGCAAGGCGAACGTGTTACCTCGCTACATTACCGCTCCCGATGGAGCTCCTGGTTAAGCGATAGAAGCGTGAGCGTGCGAGAAAAAGATTTAGTATTTACGTATATCACAGTTCTCACTCAAGCAAGTTCGATAATTGTTTCATTAATTGGACGGAAACAAAATATTTTCATACAACGGACAAACAGTTGCAACATTCACTCGGTATTTGAAGATAATTCTATAAATTATATTACTCCAGTCGCAGCTGCCAAATACAATATTTTCCGTTACTTCTTTCATCTTGTTTAACGTACTCTTCGGAACAAAAATTTTATGTTGTACAACCCTTTATTGCTCAATATGTTTGGTAATCAATCAAGAACAGTGTTCCGGTTGTAAACACAGAAATCGGTCGAGAGAATAAAATTTATAGAACTCGATGGAAAATGTGCATCGCGTGAGCGTAAAAGCGTTTAAATGGTGTCGTCGGGTGGAAACGAACCTTGACATTTTTCCCGTCGCCGTGAAGTGTATGCCAGACGCGGCGTCGTCGGCTATGTCCGAGCGGTACTTCTGCTGATAATCTGCCGCCATTTCGTCGATCCTGACCGAGGACGGTTGGAGTTCTTGTTGCGCGGCGGATAATTGAATTCCGGCCGTGGACGGCATTGGATGTTCCTCGCGGAATGCCTGAGACGCGGCCGTGTACGGAAGTTCCGTGGGGAAGATTTCGTCCCAATACTGATCGCGGATCAATTCTGGATGCTCGTGATGCATCTCGTCGACGATGAGGTAGCTCACCTTTCGGAAATAGTAGTAACGTTACACAAAGAGGTCTGTTTAAAATGCCTAAATAAACGTGGACGTCCTTTGAACGGAATCTACTTACTTGTAGGTTTCTGTCGATTATCCAGTTAACTTCGAAGTCGTCATCATCCTCGCCGAATGGGTTGATCAGAGTCTCGGCGACCTTGAGCTGTCGTGAATACTGGGAAGTAGAGATCGATCGTCGACGTGGACGAATTCTGTACCCACTGTCGACCCATCACGCTAGTCAAAAAGTACGTGTACACAGCCAACGTTACTACCTGCGAGAAAAACGCACAGATCAAGACAAATTTTTATTCAGGTGTGGGTGATATTTTGAATATCGATCGCTGATAATTAAATACTTTATGTAATTAAACGTACATTCAAAGAAATTTATATAAAGGCTATTACAGAAACAAGTCTAATATAAGCAATAAAAGTTCTTCGTGTTAAGGTTTGCTTTCGGTTAAACAGATGTCGAAATTTTTATCACCACTTACCTCACGTATCAGTTCATGATTGGTTATGTCTACTTAAGACGGCATTTATAAATATTTTAAATGGTACGGTACTATCTATTTCCGACAATAGTTTGATATAAACTGATAGACGATAGTGGGATAGATGGAACACGGGCAATATTGTTCCACGATCTCTGCTCACTAAAAGCAGAAATTACTGAACAATAGCCAGATACAGCACCACTAATATCCCAAAGTACACGTGTTCAACGAGTTTTCATATTGGAATTTTTTTAGCTCTATCAAAAAAATGTTGCAACACACTTTAACCGATAGTTTTAAATACAATCGTCAATTCAAATTCAGACGGCTTTATCAGTTACAGCACATCTTCTACACGCAGTTCAGACGACCGTGTGTACCTGGTGTCCGCAAATAGCGAACGATTTTTCAGATCCCTATACGTATATGTACAAGGCATTAGCAGCCAGGGGGTTAAGAAGAAATACAAATTCCGAAGAAACCTCCTGAGACTATAATTAATAATTCTCGCTCGGTCGGTTCGCCTACCTGAGTGTAGACTAAAGGAACGCTGATAGTATCGTAGTGCATGAGACTACCGCAGAGACCGCGAAACTTGTTCAGCTCGTCTATCAGCGTCTTCACGGCAAAATCGTCACGAATCCGACCCTCCTTCCTGGCTCGAGTCACGATACTCGACGCCCATACGATCGGCAGCCAGTGTTTGCTCGGCTTGGGAAACTTCGCGTTCAAGCTCTGGAATATCACGAGTTCGTTCTCCATCAGCAGACCGGTGTCCACAAGGTGCTCCAACGTGGGGAATCGTTTCTTCACGCGGGGCGAGACCATCGTCAGAACCAGCGTTAAACAGACGCACACGTATCTGAAACAGACGAGACAACCGTTTAAACGCAGCGTTTCTGACCGTGTAGTCTATAATTTTGAGGAATCGAATGAAATAACACACTAACAAAAGATTCTTTTGAAAAACTTTAAAATCCCACAATTCTATGTAAATTAATACGATCTTTGGATATGTTTCCCTTAGATTGCTAACCTTTTGCACTTGGAATTTCTAATTTTCCATACATTTTGTCCCTTCGAAGGAGACAGTCGAGTGGAAAGTGTTAACTCTCAAGAATTACTTTATCGTTAATATTTTCCCAAATACAACAGGAATTCTATTTTTATGACAACTGTTACATTTATTCTAAATTTGTGATGTTAATACCAGCGATACGGTATTTTACGTCGACTCGAAGAAAACGAATAATATATATGTTTACTAAATTCAGTTTGAAATCGTTATCACGTGTCTAAGTCGACGTTTGTAAGGCAAGGGGTTAAAGGAACGATCTTTAGTAGATTTTTAGTGGTACAGAATCAAATGGAACCGTCCGTTCGCATTCCAGTTGAGAGCTTTTCTTCACGGTGAGAATCGCCGTTTCTGAACAGGACCGAAACGGAACGGTACGCTTCGTTCTCCTCGACATCGATCCAGCCCACTGTTACCGTTGATCGTGCTGTCAAGTACACACGTACCTGACGATGGTTCGACGCATCAATCGACCCCTCTCGTCGTTCCCGTGTATAGTGGCCGACACGAAAACCGCGATCGAGTCTGGCCACGGTATCACCATGTATTGATTCCACCATCTGGTCATAACGATGCTAACGTAGAAACCAAGGACGAATGACAACGGTATCAGGTCGCTGTATTCGTTGCAGTACGCCACTACAGCTTCGAAGATCTTCTTTTGGTCATCGTCGAGTATCAGCCGGTACATGCACGACAACGAATAGTATATGAAGAGGAAGAGGGCCAAGTCTAGCCAAACGAGCTTGTATATGCTTGCTCGCCATCTAAAAATAGAACGCAATGGAGAAACATGATTATGATGGATTCTTCGTGTCAATCGGATTATATATCAATTGGAGATAAACGGGACTTAAAAAGTCGTTCGCGATGTGTGTGTGTGTGTGTGTTTTTCTTTTTCAAACGGTAGGAACGTTGATAAGGTGACTTAACGCTTAAGCAATCGATCGAAGAGATTCTACTTGTTTCAGGGTGCAACGCTGGCTTCGAATCGCTTGAATGTAAAAATAGTTCCGAGATAATCTCTCTGTCTTAAAAAAACGATTTAAACAAATTTACAAAAAAGGGTTTCTATTTGATCTATGATACTCGATTGAATGCAATTTGGACGGCTGCCGAGGTGTCTAGAGTGTTTTATCCGTATCCGAGCTGTTTAGAGATATGGCCTGATAGATGTCTGAAGCGATCCAAGAGAAATGACAGACAGCTGAGCGTTTCGTTCAAGGGACATTACTCGCAACTGCGTAAGGCGGGGAACATTGGAAATATTCCAAAGCGAGGCACGAGATTTCTTTACCGCCTCGAGATTTTGTAATAAAATCGTAAAGTGTTTTGTAATAAAATCGTCCTTGAATTCGATAGTCGACATCCGAGAGACAAATATTCGCGCAATTCCCCAGTGTTCTCATGTACACATACCACTTGCACATTTTATTCGAAAAGTTCTCAGAATGATTCGATTAGACGTCAAAGTCTAAGGATCCAAAAAATATATCTCCTGGATTTAGGATAATATACAATCATATTTATATACGCCATAATCTCTCCGAAAACCTTTCACAAGCTTTGAAATAATTTATTGGTCCGATGTATCCATGCTTTGTTGTCTGAATATTTCGTGTGATAAATTCGAGCGAGTAAGCGTTCCATGACTTTTCTGTAACACTCTTACTAAAATCAGGATATCGTAACATGGATTCTTGGCGGACAATTTTATACAGGAACAGTGACAAGAGTTGATTCAATGAATGATACTTATAGTATCCTTCGACTTGGAAAATTCAATAAAATGAAGATATTAAAGAAGTTTTGAAGATACTAAGACGTAGTGCAGAAACAAAAATTTTGTCCCATTTCAATTTTTAAATATTAGTATTCGAAATTACGAATTTGCATAAACTTCCGCAGTCTAACGGTAACTCTAATAATAAAATAAATTAATTATTCGTAATACTATAATTCGTAAGCAGTGAGAATTGTGCACATTAATCAATTCACTGCACTCCTGTTTTATAAAAGATCATGAAAGTCACTTTTTAGATAAACTGTGTTCCGCCGACGTCGACCAACACCGCGTGAATGGCGAGAATGACGCGAATCGATCGGCGGTTCTAGCCTAAACTCTAAACCAAACTCTACACCAATTGCAACATCCGCATTACCACCTTTAGAGACGGCCTAAGAAATTACCTCGTACTTTCGAACGTGATGAATAATCAGGAATATGTGTTCTTGAGCGTGAAATCGACGGCGAAGCTCTATTAAGCGAATGCAACTTGGACCGTTATGGAGTTCCGTTGCAGTCGTAGGCGTTCGTCTAATGAATAAAGCAAAACGTTATCAAAGTAAGTACTTAACGACCGCGGCGAGAAAACGAACGAATGCAAACGCGTTTCGCGTAGATTTCATCGCACGTCGAAGCAACGTCTCGGTAAGGTTCCGTCAGAAGCGATGCGGCAAGAAGCGTTTCGGCGAAGAAAGAAGAAATGCACGGTCGAAGCGTGGAACGCCGATGACGAACGATCTTTCGTGGAACAAGCGACCGACACGCGTGCAATTTAGAGCTCCGATTGCACGCAACGAGCCCGAAACGTCGCCTTCGAGCGGGCACAGGACAGTCGAAACAATAATAGAAGGGGTCAGCGACTCGGAAGTCCAATAGCACGGGCAAGTAATTTCAAAAAGGAAAGTGTGCTTCGAGTGAACAACAATGCAGTGGAGGTAATAAACCTTGTAATAAAGAGAGGTTTAGTTCCGGCGGTCGACAAAAGGTGTGACAATAGACCGCTGACGCCTCGCTCAACGTAGGGCGCAACGTCCCCCATTTAAATTAGTTTCCCTTGCAGACCAGTAATGGTAATTTTCGAAATGTTGAAGACGCTGGTGGGTCAACGATCCCTAAGTGGCTCGACCCGCAAAAGAAGCCTTTATTTATGGTACTACTCAGTTTACCCTACTCCAAACCGGGCACAGCTGGTGATCGAAACAGGAGTCAGAAAGATAAACCAGGGAAGCAAAAGATGGTTCTGAGGAAACTAGATTGTCAGCTGCCGTAACTCCATCCGCTTAATGCACTACCCACGCAGTAATTCATTAATTTTCACGTTTCAAATCAATAAGTATATGTACTGAGAAAGAGAGAAACCAACCGATGAGCATCCTCGTCTCGTTCCTCTTATCTGAGCACGCGCAATAGATGCATCAGCTGTGCTTGGCCGAACCGGCCGTAGAACTGTAATGTATACTAATGTGTCCTTCTTAATGATGCCTTGAAAGTTTGTCTTTGCTAGCGAACCGGAGCAAAAACTTTTTCCTTGTAAAAAATGATAATGCCTTCGAGGCGTCTCAAGCTCCGTAAACACGAGTCGTACGCGGAACGCGTAAGCCCTTGATGAATGACAGTGACAATTATAAATACAACAAGTACTGGGAAATTAGCGATACGATCGTGTAACCGCATCGCTCGTCGCTGTGCTCGCGAGACAGAGCCTTTCCGACGGTTTCATGCACCCAGTGTGCTTATCCTTCGCGCGCACGTGACTCACGTCATTCAACAGAATTCCTTGCCGATCACGGAACGATATGACGGAACTGTTTGAAATACCATTTAATTGCAATTGATCCTAATTGCACCATACGAGGAATCGAATCGTTGATTTTCCACAGAGAATATTATCAGCTGTTGGATACCTACTTCTTTGAAAACCGTTTCAACAAGTCTATTGTTTACTCGCTAATGAATAGTGGACGACTGGTGACATAAGCAGATGATGTGTTCCCTTTGATATACGGAGCATTGAATCCACGGAAATTCATTTCTATTCATCGGGTAATAGCAATAAGTAATCATCATTTTTTTTTGTCAAACTCAATACTTATTTCCAAGGAAATCGAAAGCTTGTGCTGTGTAGAAAATATACGTCCACGTTCTCGAACATGTTTCATTTTTTTTGTAAAAGAGAAGAACAAACAGATGTATCAAATTTAATCTACGTTACCAGTTCATTCAACCAAAGAGTGAGTCACTCGTCGATAAACTTAATACATTAATTCTGTTATTTTTATTTATATTCAGTTATCCAATAGTCTGAGTAACAAGTGGGGAAGTGTGAAACATGAAACGTGATCTTTGCTCTCGTTGGGCCCAAGTCCGCGTTACGTATGCACACGGAGACAAGCGAAGCGCGTCTATTTTCGTAGCTTATATTATTTAAAAAATAATAGACGATTCTTAAAGCTAAGTTAACAACAAACAGTTTTTTGAGCCCATTTGCCAATTAAAATCTTCCTATCTTAATACAGACTCCTCTCGATTATCGTCCCAAACTCGGATCCACAACGGGACAATAATCGTGTAAGGAGAAATGCTTCAGACCCTTGTAAATTCGTCTTTTTTCCCGAACCTTGGCAACAAAGTATGTACTTCACAAGTTCCACAGCCCCTCCCCCAGTGGTGTTGATAACGCCTCGACAATAATCGTGTAGAACAGGCCAGACAATAATCAAGCGGAGTCTGTATTCGATCTCGGCCGAAATCAAAGCAATCGTTCCGGCAGTTACAAGGATCATGAAACCACGAAGGGAATAGTCGATTTCAATAGAAATCGAAGTGATCGTTCCGACTGTTGCAAGGATCGCGAAACAAGATTTAATCGTGTCGAGAGGTCGCGATGGTACCTCTCACAGTCCACGACCTTCCTGCCGAGCATCACGATCCGCGGAACGAGAGCCAAGCCCGAAGTGCTTACCTTAGGAGTAATTTTAGAAAGCAACCGAGACCTCTGCAGGTGGCGACTTCGGCAGTGTAAGTGACCGTCATCTCTCGTTTCTACACCTGGCGCGCGGAGAGAACCGACCAAATGCTTCAGCTGCCTGAGACCTCGCCAGGAAAACCTCACGAAGGAGTCATCTCTGCTGCCACGCGTGCGACATCCTCTTCCACTCGAATCAGCACGGCTGGGACTCGACTCGACAGGACGATCGGCGGCCAGATATTAATTAGTTCGAACGCGGCCTTATCTCCGAGCTCTTCTCCCTCGACGTTACGCGGACAGACAAGACGACTACGAAGGTCATCCTCGATGCACGAGGTCTCTCTGTGTGTTTTGCGATTACGTAACTCGCGGTACTCGCCTCGAGCGAAATGCACCGGCGTACGTTCGGTCCCCGACGACTTCCGTCTGCCCGGACACTTCGTGCCTGGTCTTTGCGTCGACAAACACCGAAATCGATTCACCAGCTATCAGGAACCACGACTTCGATCAATGGAATCGGTCTGTTGACGAAAATATTTTGGGCGAGTAAGAATATCGCGACCTTCTGTTACACTCGCGAGAACGTTCCGCCGCTGAACAGTTTCCGCTGGCTCGCCCGAATCTTTAGTCAATATGGTGTTTCTTAACCGCAGAGCAAAGTAAGGCTCGAGAGCGATAACGTTGCCATCGGACTAGGTCCACTAGTTCACGCTTGAAACTTCTGTTCGTCGGAAATGAAAGAACGTCACTGTTTCCGGCTCACTAAGTTTCACCGATAGTTCACAAGTACTTCACTGTTCTTGAAAAACGTCTGCCGGGTTGAAAGCCCTCCTGTCCATGTGCGGTGGTTCAAGTCGTCCGCTTGTTTCCGTTCCGACACGTTCCACAGGTGGATCTGCAACGACAAGAGTGCCGACGACGACGATTAACGATCGCTTCTCCGATGATTCATTGGCGCTTCGAAACAGACGAGTCGGCACTTTATAGCCCCCAGTTTCCGATACGACGCTTATCTGTATTCTACGGAAGGCGTCACGACGAAAACGGTTCGAGCCGCGACAAGAGAACTCGACTGCTTCGAGCTATTAGAACTGAACGACTACTAGCCATGTATATACCACATAATAGTTACAATAATAATGAGGTGTTCTGTAAAGTACAAAAGAGAAAAAGAGTAAATGGGAATAATGCGTAACGATATTTGCATGACGTACTGTACATGTACATATGTTTAAAATTTATGAAGACTGAGGGGTGTAAAAGCAAGACCTAGACTAAATATATTTAAATCTAGTCTGAATTAATTTAATGTGGTTATCACGTTATTAGATACATTCACCTAGGTCCAAAAATGAACGCAATTTTTTATTCCAATAATATACAAGAATTGGAACTCGTAGCAAACAGTGCCGTTGCGACATTTAAACAATTAATTGGATTACACAGTTGTTTGGATGTAGGTTTACTTGTTAAAAAATATTAGATTGTGGTGTAAATTTATTTAACAAAAACTTAATGACATTAATTTTTTCAATTTCTATTTGTTATTCAAATCTATTTATTTAGATAATATTACAATCTTTATAGTAGGTAATTAAGGTCACTCAACTCTGTCATTTAAAAGATTTATATCATATCTGTCTGTTCCACTAGGTATCAAAGGTTATACATATCCGTTAATAATATGAATAATAATACTGAATTTGCCTATCTCTGCTTAAGACCAAGCCAGACACACTACTAGTCAGTGAAACAGTAAACAGAAATCGAAATCGTTCGTCTCTACTACAGCCATAAATAAAGTTGAAATGTTTCGGATTACGTGCACATTTCACGAATACGATAAAAGCAATTTATCATCAAATATATTTGTTAAATAGCCGGCACGTAGTAACCGGCCATACCCGCGGTTCTCTAATGAACGATGCCAAACGACCGAGCCTTTGTCGTTGGCTTCCGTTCTAAGAGCAATGACTCATTACGTTCTATATTTCGCGGGCTATATGCAGGCCGCGGTTTCGAACCGTTCTCGAGAATGACGCTACAACGTAATCGTAACCTTGCGTATGGATCGTTATCGCGACCTGTTATCGTGTTACCGGCCTACTCCACATTTGTGCTCACGAGTCTCTGTTAACGTACTGTACACAGACGGCACATTGTGCAATACGAAATGTACTACACAATAGTACACAATGTAGAACGCTAAAAGTAATAACGAAATTATTTCTCAGTCGAGCATCTACGAAATCTATCGAAGAACTATAGAACGTTTCATTTTATAAATGTGCTTGCCCAAATTTGAGTATTAACAATAACCGCGATTATGAGCGTAGCTAGGTTATCAGTCGGAGGGGGGGGGGCAATTAATTTTTTTTTAAAGCTTTTAAGCCCCCTGACTACGCCCATGACCACGATAATTGAAGTTGAATTGTACTCGAGGCTATGCGATATCGTCAAGGAGTCGCGAAAACTGTGCGAAGTGTGAGCAGTTTTCCCGCGCTTTCAAGCAACGCCGTGTTTGAGTGCACTGTATAGGGACTTTTACTTTTCCCTGCGCTTGACTACCCGACAATCTCGCTGAAGACCTTCCACGGTCACCCCGCTTCCTCATGGTACGATTTAAAGGTGCACGCCGTTAAGCATTGTCTCTTCAATTCTGTACACGAATCATATGTAGGTACGTATTTATGACTGTCGAGTGAATTATTTATTTTATATGTATTATGTTAATAAATTTTAGTTCGCATGTTCATCTAACCCTGGTACTGTATTTGAATTATCTAAACCGGAAAGGATACATAATTTATAGTAATTCCTTGTGTTGTAATAAACTCTGAAATAAATTTTACGTGACTAATTTCGTATAATGCCGTGTTTGTTTAATTTATTTTTAATTACTATACCGTTTTACAGGTAGAATATGAATGTGGCAATTATATATACAATGGGGATTTAAAAAATGATTCGCGGTTTTTATCGAGCAAGTCAGAGTTCTGTATAAAACACTCAAAAAAACTCAATTATTCGATAGAAAGCTGCTGTTAAAGAAAAAAGTACGAAATCGGCCTTGTCCGGTACGTTTACATCAGCCCCACTCCACACCAGTAACCCCATATATTAAGTGTGTGAACAACGGTTCATTGTTTCGAAAAGACTGTCGGAACGTTTGGGAGACCTCCAGCTCGTGTAATCGTGGTGAGCACGTGTATACCGTACGGTCATCATCGTGGGAGAAACCAGGATGACGCAGAAAAGAAATCATCTAAACGTAAAGTATCCGCAAACTATGAATTAACATCCTGCGGTGAGATTTTGTCACTGTGCGTTTTAATATGTTGTAAGAACTGTTCCTAACCCTCTATACCGCCTTTTAGTAAAAAGGTTTAGCTCTTAAATGTGAGGTAATTATCAAAAGACAATAATATGAAGATTGTCGTCTTTACTTCTGAGATCCTTTTTGCAACTCACTATGTATCGCCGAACAATTATCCCTATTATCGGTGCTTTTGCATAGATTATTCTGAAAGCATAAGAACGGCGTAGCAACGAAAGCGCGAAAACTGTATCGACTTCACAAAATTGGACAGTACATTTCGTTCATGTCAAGAAAATCATGTATCGCGTTCGCGAATGGTACGAAAACCTCGTGACAAAGGAAAATATACCAAGCTGATTTCTTATTAAACCGCCTATGCCCCACTCTGAGTGTCTCCGATCCGTGAATCGCACGACGGAACTAGTTTCACAAAATTTGCAAGAAACAGCTGGTCGCGAGGTTCCCGAACGAGCACGCACGATTGCGATCAAACCGTGGCGGAGATTGAATCGTCCGCACAAACTCGCCAACGGGTTTGGCGGAAGGAGTACCGAGCGTGCACTGAGAGAACCGTTGCCGCAGCACGCCAAAAGATCCCCCGGTACTCCACCTACGGTCTTTCGATCCTATCCCCACCGGTGCCCCGGTCTTTCCGCATCAAACAGTGGTGCTCATCGCTAAACTCTATGCTTGGATGGAAATCACTGCACCAGGGCCGTATCTCTGATGTGTTTACGAACCATTAAGTGAGTTTCATTTATACAAAGTTCGTCTACACTGCATGCATAATCATGTAAGTGACACACGCTTATATTTAATACAGATCAAACAGGTAACATACATGTTATCAACCGAACCTGTAAGAGATAAGTTTCATAAGAGGATAATGTAACACTATGGAAAGTACAATAATGTTGATAGCATATATTTGTGCTTGCACGAATATTGGAATTTAAAAAGAACTAAAAAGCCTTTTACAACTTACAAGAATTATTATGGATGAGGTTGAAAGGTTTCAAGCATTAGTCAGGCTAACAAAGTTTTCTAATCGCTGCGATGAAACGAAATTGCAATGGCAGCGATGATGTACGAATTGAAAATAAGGGTGACATTGAATGTTTTTGTGATACGTCATGGGATAGTAGGAATCTCCGGAAATCTAATATTAATAAAACACAATAAATGTAAAGAACACTCGGTTTTTACTGTTATCGCTACATATACGCAGTTTCTATCAATCGTATATCAAAATACTATGTCAACACGTGCAACGTGTCGCCGATAATGTTGAATATACAGATGTATAATAGGACCTCTATGCTGGCAGAATGCGCGTACACACGTACGTTTTCAAAATTACATAATAATACAGTTGCGGGCGTAAAAAGTGTGTGTGGAACACCCGCTTGCATATACAACGTAAGTATACCATTTATACAACGTAAACTTGGTACGTGACAATAATCTTTTTACACGTACACACTTCCTCTTGCTTATTTCTAAGAGGACACTTACGACCTGAATTATATTCTAATTAATTCGATATGCAACTCGCGTTCGAATTAGTCCCGCATGGAGCTTGCACTAGAACTGTCGATTAGGACGACGATATTGCTATTGGACTAACAGTCTTGGTCCCTAAAAGTCACAGCCATCAAATGCAACGAACAGTAATCGGAAATGTAAGGCCACTCGATTCAACTAAAAACACTAATCGAAACCGATCGACGGTAAACGATGATATCAACGAACAACGTGCTTTCGATACGGTGAAATAGTTTCCGATTGGGAATCGAAAATGCACAATAAAATTAACGTAAACTTCTTAGCAATACTTCTTTGAACCTTAGGAACAGTATATAATAAGAACTTCAACAAAGCAGCACTCTTTGACAGTCTTGATGGATTTGCTACAACGTGCTGACAGTCTTGTTTGACATTTCAAATTGTGTCATGCAACGATAGTCGTCAATGTATCGTTTTTACTTCCAGTTCTGGAATATGAAAAATTGAACTAACTAAAGTAACGTGAAGAGTTATTATCTTCTACTACTTTATATTCTTCGGTAAAATGAAATATTCAATGTATACCTTATCGTAGCATGTTGAGTCGAGCGCGACCAACCAGCGATAAAATTATTCTCGCTTCTTTCAGCGATTCGTTGTCGATGGCTTCCGGTTTTAGACTGTACCTTAAACGTGGCAGTTTGTGTGAGATCCGGAGATATAGTCCATTTTATGGTTTTGTACAGTAACCTAAATAAAAAAAAAACAATTATTGTACCTAGAATTGTTACGTTGGTCTGTCTTTATCCTTCAGTGAATGGGAAGATCGTACCTGGGTAATAATGCCAGAACGCAGGTAAGTATTACAGTAAGCCAGTACGTGTATCTCACGATAGCCATTTCCATTACCCAATATGAACAAAGCAGTCCCATACAGTTGACGCATACTATATTATAAATTAAACAGAATCCAAAGAATACGGATAAGGATCCCAATATCGCGAACACGTGGATTATGGTCTGAAAGTGATATCATGGCATTGTATATTGTTTGATATTACTGCTTTAAATCGAAGATCCCTGTAAACTGTAAACCATTCAACTTACCCACGATCGAATTTCTATGGAAACATGGGCAAGCATAACAACGATGCAACACGTCATTACAGTAGTTCCAAATTCCCATATATCAATTGTCGAATCATAATATACCTGAACGAAAAAAAAAACCATTCGTTAGACGACGATGTATTAATTTTGAGACCTTGTTTGTGTCAAGACTGTACTAACACACTCATTTACGAAAAAGATAACGATACTTTGGTACAAAGCATCAGCCATCGTTAGCCAAAACGAGTGTGGCTGATAGACGAGCCCGAGTCGTCCTCTTTTATACAAATGGGGCATAGACATTAAAACATCGGGCGAGGCTACTCGGTCGTATACGCCCAACGCTAGTGGTGGCATTGATGTAAACATGAGATTATACAACATTAAGTAAATCTGGTCCACCATGACTGTTCCGGTAAAGCCGCAGTACATCTACGACAGAATAATAAATTATGACGTAACTGTTACTGTTGCATTGGAGGAATGATTTGTGCACTGAATATACTATACCTGGAACCAAAATACAAGGAAGACAAAGGTCGCGTTTTTATAGAAGAAGTACAAGATCATCCTAGACAAACGGTCGTAACACCAATGGCCGTGCAGAAGAAGAAGCCTGCTAAGCATCGAGAATCGTGAAATGGCAAAGTCTGCGGCCATAACGGCTTGCGTCCCTTCGTGTCCGGAGATACCGACACCGACGTCCGCGGTTTGTATCATACTAACATCATTCGCGCCATCGCCGATAGCCAGCGTTCTCATTCCCAATTGTTCTTTTACTATACGTACTATGTATGACTGAAATACAAAATGATGTTTCAATTTTATGGCGTATATAATATGTGAAATTCGGACCCCCAGATCCGTTAAAGCGAATTAGAAAACTAGGAAACCCGGAAGGACCCAGTGCTTGTGATACAGCTGACTAGTAAGCTTCTGTAAGCTTCCAGCTCAACCAGTTACGTACGAAATTTTCAGCCCAGGGTCATTTCAAAGTCACAGTGTGATCATTGGTGGATACGTTTTGATCTCCTCTTTGTTATGGCAAACAAAAAAATAGGGCATTCCATTTAAAAAAACGTTACCATTAAAGAAATTTGAGAAGATATGACCTTGAGATGACCTTCAATCTCATAGCCTAATTTTCCCCCTAAAATACACTAACTTTCTCACGAACCATTCTTTTGTACCGTGACAAATAAGAGAATAATTAAGGGTGACAGAGTTAGGCGAGACACCCTGTATATAATTATGAAAGAAGCAATTACCTTCTGAAGAGGCGTCGCTCTGCAGGCCAACACGCTAGAACACACTTTCGTTAATTCGAGAAACGGTCTCGTTAATCCTGATCGAGGATCCAAGATAACGGTCAGAGTTTTCCCATCGACAACGAGCGCTCGTTGTTTGGGCCAAGGACTGCCTATTCTGTGCGCCTCGTTCTCAGCCGCGTCGCGATTAAACATTGCAATCTCTCTAATATTATCCATTCCTCCCCGTTCATTGCCGTAAACCGCGCTTTCTCTTCGCGCAGTTTCCAGGTACCCGTGGATTAAGGCCTCGGCGACCGACTTGGACCTTGCTTGCAACCACAGTAGCTGCATCGCAGGCGAAAAAAGACGCGCCGAGTATGCAATATTCACCGCGGTTTCTGGCTTGTCCCCTGCCAATTTCATATTTTCATTAGTTTCGTGCCACGATTTGTGCCCTAAATTAATACCCTTTCACTAAGTAAATATACCTGTTAGAACCCAAATGACGATTCCTGCCGCCATCAGGGTCGCCATAGTTTCGGGTACACCTGCTTGGAGTTTGTCCTCGATCCCGGTCGCGCCTAGGAGAGTCAAATGGGATTCTAGATTCGCGTAAGAGTCCTTGAGACGATGCTCGCGGTTCTCCATCGCGAGTTCAGCCTCGGTATGCGTTTGCCGCCATGTTTCGTATTCCTGTGCGGTCAGGGATTTCTTAGCCATGACCAGGGTACGAAGGCCCTGTCGCGCGTACGACTGTAAATGCTGTCGGACTCTCATCGTGACAATGGAATTCTCTTCCTGAGAAGTCAGCGACGAAAATATTGTGCTATCGGCCCCTTTGCTGTACAGCACCACTTCATTGGTCAACGGGTGCCGCACTAACACGGACATGCACTTTCTGTTGGAGTCAAACGGCAACACCTGGAATACGTATGTCGATCAATAGGATAAACTCGTTTCAAAATTTGCTACGGATACCCCTGGCTTTCAATTTTCTGTCGATTCACTTTCTTCGATAATGTTCGGAGAAAGCGTTTTCATGCAAAAGCGAGGAGTATTCGCGAGCGCCGGCGCGTTTATCCGTAACGAGCTTACGTGAAGAATTTCGAAAGTAAGAATGGACTTGTCTGGCAAACAAACGATCGCGCTACGCGCCGTGCGTTTCAGAAGTTTCACGTCGTAGGCGCGAGCTGCATTCACTAAAGCGAGCTCGTCGGGACTTTCCGCTTCGTAAATTGCCGCCGCAGGTAGCAATTCGTCTCCGTTTTTCCCGCTACCGTCGATAACGGAACTCAACGGACTGCGTCGTTTCTGCGCTCCATTCGGCGACAGTTTTCTTCCCAACAGTCCCATTCCTAGGCTTGGTATCGACGTCACGTTCAGGAATCTCGGCCTAGAAATCAGATGTTTCATTAACAAACTCGACCTCGAGCCAAAATGCGTTGATATTAATACAAAAAAGAAACAGGCAATCACCTTGATAATTTGTTCGACAACTTCGTGGAATTATTCAGAACAGATTCCATTTCCACCATAGAAGATATCGAAGATACGTTATCCTCGAGACTGTTCACTGGATGCGAAAGCGTCGACAGAGGAATAACCGGCGAAGGGGTTAAACTTCGAGTTTCTATCATTCTTGTGTACCTGCAAAATGAATTTCACGCATAAAGGTAGCTGCAAATTGGACCTGTCACTGTTTCAATAAATTGGATACCCGAGTACTCGGAAACTATACGTATTAATCGAAAACTATCTGGGCGTGTTACACCCAGGTACTATTTTTATTCTGGCGTCTTTATGCTACTGTAAAATCCAAGAAACTAACGATTTCCGGTAAATAGGAAGCTACATTGATCAAATGTTGTGGCTGATCCAGGACACAAGGGATACCCGGTTCAAGTTGGTAGCACTGTTACAAACCTTCCAGTCTCGTCGCCGTTTTTCTGCGGCTCTTCGATCACTCCGCTGGAGTTCATGGTGTCGTAATGGGGTTGAGAATTGACCACAACAGTATTACATATCGCTAATACAACTAGGAATTCTTGTAGATGTTGTCTAAATGTACCTATGATGAGGTCCTCCTTCAGTCTGGAGGAGGGTAACAAATTCTCACCCTCCCCGGTGTGGGAGTAATCTTGCCCGCCCACTGCGCATCGTCTGAACAGCATTTTATTTTCCGTTAGGGTGCCAGTTTTATCGGAGAATATGTACTGTACCTATCGGGAAGAAATAAGGGATTGCTACTCAATCAAGATCGGCCGTCGTCGCCGCCGCCTTCGATCAGTCTTTGCTCACCTGACCCAATTCCTCCGTGATATTAAGCGCGCGACATTCAGCCGAACGATCCGTGTCCGTATCGTACAGAGCGACATCGTGCCCGATATGATAAACCTGTCCCACTTTCGCCATCTCTATAGTGACGTACAGGCTCAACGGTATCATCACTTGAAGTATGATAACGAACGTCCAGAACGTCAGCATGCTCTCGTAGCTCGGCTCCTGAAGAACAGGGATGAAGGGGACGAACCAGAGACCGGAGTAACCGGACAGCCACAGTCGACAACCGATCGCACCGATCACGCATAGCAGCAATAGTATCACTACACACCATATAACGTCCCTGTTCATCTGTTTCTCGAGTCTAGAACGCTGGAAAAAAATGTGTTTCTTAATGGTCTGGGATAAAACTGATTTAGATCAGAAGTTTAAAAAAGGTATTATTTAATTGCTTGTATTGCAAATATAAACAGCGAATCAAGTTTCGAGTAAATCAGGGGATAAATGTCGATACTAGTCAGCCATTGATCATTACCTTATATCTAGGTCCACCGTTGTTAAGCATCGCTTTCGTCTCGTGGCCGGCGTATATCACAATGCCTTCCACGAAATCGGTATTTTTTAACAAACATTCCCTGAGTAAGAGGTTCTCCGTGGAGACAGGTACTCTACCGCCGTTCGGATGAACGACGGCTCCATGAAACCTGAAATATGCATTCGTCAGTTTCCTTAGATTTCATATTTCAAAATCATCTGCGTCCCAACGAATGTTTACCTATATATTCTAGTACTAGGCTGATCGACCTCGATCACAGATCGGAATTTCGCCGGCTGGAAGGTGTCCTGTAGATCGATGAAACCTCTGACCACTTGCCGTTGCTTCAGATTGGTCTCGCCGTCGAGGTTGCAGGTATCGATGTAAGCTAAGCCCTGAGGATCGCTGCTCCGCAAGAGCAGCACGTCGGCCGGTACTAGTTCGTTGTTCGAGAGGTGAACCAGGTCGCCGACCTTCACGTCTTTCCACGCCACCTTTGCATACCTGTCGTCTTCCCTGGAATCAGGCAAGCCGCGTATCATCGGTAAAAGTACGTTTCATTATCAAAGGAATATACGAGGTGGTTTATTATTGATAGTACTACCCTATGGAAAGATAATTCTTCCGAGAAAAGATAAATCGTAACAGAAAAATGAAACTTTTGCAAACAAAGTTTTATTCCCGAGAATAATGACTGAATATTCGTTACGGATGTTTTTAATATTCGTAGAGACAGTGGTGTCTAGGTTCGTCTGAAACCCTATGCCTCCTTCTTTTTAAACATACTTTCGATCGCGATCGTTAAAAAAATGTCTGCTTTTTTTTATACAAGAAAATATGAACAATTCGTAGCTTAAATTATATTTACAAATCGATGAGTTAGATATGGCTTTTAAACACTCGAGTCCAAAAGAACCCGATTAACGTACTCCAAGGGTTAATGAGCTAACTTGTCTGTTCACAACATACTGTTTCTACTTGTCAGATCGTATCTATGCATATAATAGGTGAACCTCCAAAGGCGATTTTCATGAGAACGGTATCTTGTATGGAGAAATATCATTCTATACATTAGACTTATTCTTTTACGGACAATCACTTCCTGGTTAGATATACCACCAATAACAGACCATTCTGTATGCCTCGAATAAAAGATTACAATCGGCATGGAAGGAGGCACGTGTGCATCCATCGATATCTCAGAATTGTGTAATATTTATAGAACGTTTAATAATCAAAAAGCAAATCACATGGCGGAATTTTTAGTGCGGTAATTGTTTTATGAAAAGTTATCCCCACCAGGATGTATCACGAGTTTGTCTCAAAATAGCAAAGTAATGCACAGAGATACGGTGATGTATTTACGAAAAGGATTTTGTCGTCTTACTAATCGTGAATAAGCAAAATTCATAGAAGGTAGAGCTCGTGTCATTGTTACAGAGATATGACTCGCCTGTATCGAAATATCGCCCAATCAATTTTCATATTTCTCTCTGCTTTCATGCTGCGACGATAAGGCTTTCCAAATCAGTTTTCCCGCAGGTCACGACGGTCGAGCCAAGGCTTATTGTATCGAATATCGTCTGTCTAGATTTTGTTCTTTTGACGGGTACATTATTGAAGCTCGGTAAAGTGGCTCGAAATGTCTCGACCTGGATCTCGTTTTCATCGACGTCTAACAAGAGTATCATTGGAAAGGATGTTTCTTGGGCAACAAAGAAGGATAAATTGTCTAGCTATTTCTTGTACATTTTGCGACACAAATAGCCCTTCCAAGTCAGGAATCTGTTACTACTCTGAATTCTACGGAGACGAAGCCACATTATTCATTACTAGACTGCGGATTTTTATGCAAAATAACGTATTCTAAAGTAATTTATAAAGACAGGCGATAATGTAGAAATTTATTTTTCCTCTTAAATATCTTATTGCGTTCAGACTAAAAAAGAAAAGTCGAATTTTCATTGACCAGAAAATCGAGAATTAAAACTGATTAAAATGTGTGCATTATAAATATGATTAAATATAAGAGTTGTTTTATCTTATGCAAATCATGTTATATCAAATTACTATGGAAATTTGATAGTTCCAAACTATCGTGAATATGCAAAAATATTAATACAAACAGAAGTCATCGATAATGCATTGATATTTGGTACCAACTAATTTCCGAATGCAAATACGAATTCCAATGGATAGTTGCGATTTATTTTTGCACGATGCATCACTTCGTGCAAGACTGTGTCATCGTTGCAGCCACACCTTGTAAATTATCCAATTTCAAAACAATATGCAAATAGATAAATGAATGAGAGAACATAGTGAAAACATAGTTTTTGAATACGACAAACGTGAAGTATTTCTTTAAGTTGTTTCTTTGGTTTCATGTATAAAGATATTAAAATATTATGGCAGCGATTTTCGAATACACTACTTACCCCTAAATATGATGTAGAGGGAGTATCTATTTGTCTTTTCCCTTATTTCCGTATATAAAAATACTATAGAACATTATCGAAGGGATTTACGAATACAACCATTTATCCTGAAATCGTTAAAAATCGCTCCAAAGCGAACAGCGTGGGAAATGTTTTCTCCCTGGTTAAGGGGTTAATAGTCCCAATAATTACAACAATATACTATGATCGTGTAATCCAATGTGAGGATGTTATTTCAAGGCCTCTTTCTATATAAGTAGGATGACAATTTGTTCACCCTGAACGCGACACCGATACAAAACAAGCGATCTAAACGGGGAAAGGTGATTAAATCCGACCCAGACTGTGTTATTTAAGAGGTCACCGTTACGCACTTTTTTTCTTACGAGATAAGGATCATTGATCGACGAGCAGTTTGACCTCGGTGTCCCTTTATTATACCTTCCTCGAGTGTTATTAACGAACGCTGCATCAAGCACCCACTTGAAGAAATATATCGTTCGATTAAATAAAAGTGTAGTTGACCTCAAAATTGACGTGCACATTCGGAGCCCCACGGAAAAGTAATTTTTTTCAATATCAGACCGTCGTCCTTGAGACGCCACCAGTTTAGTCGTCAGCGTTACCCGTACAGGGTCGAGGAGGCTTCGTTTCGAAACGGAGACGATTCACGGAACGGAATAGTTATACATATACAGGCAATACCACGACAATTCTCGACGTCTCTTTCGTCGAGCTGAAATCGATTCGGTCACGTTTCCAACCCGTTATCCGACGGTGTTCCGTAGCCGAGGGGAATCACATGAAATCGAACCGTTCGAATTAGCATTATCCTGATTCCCGAGGTCGCGTAAACACGCCTGTCTGCCTCCTACTGCCCAGTCGGAGGAGTATACCTGTTAGTATTATTATTGCACGTTCAAGGATAAACAGTTAACGGTTTACAATGGAGTACCCTACGAACGTTCCGTTTTCTTTTTTTTTGTTCCGTTTCAAGCCTCTCCCGATTGGTCGCGGTCACAGCCGGCGACTGTTAATTACCGTTTCAGAGAAGGAATTGTTCGACGCGAACAGCGTACCATTCGCGGCAAAGTCCTCTTTCAACGATCGCCTTTCCTGCCCGTAAAGAGAAGCCCGTGGGAGGCACACCGTTTGAATTTTCCAAGATAACAAATTACTGATAAATCGGTCGCGGTGACGACAGCAGTCGAGGTAGCCTTAGGAATTCTTTTATGCAACGCGGCTTCGTTATAGATAACACGCGGTTAGATAATGTAACACCGTCAGTTTGACCACAGTAGAACATTTCCATAATTTTGCCGGCAATATACATGAACCCACGGTGCGCTACTTTCGATTCTCACTGCGTCGATTTTGTAACTGATTCAGGGAAAATTCTTCTTATTTCGTTGTTACTTTGCACAAATTTAAAACCGTTCTTTTCTTTTCTTTTCCTAGATACGATGTTTATCAGAATACAGGAGCAGTTCGTAAGAGGATATGTGAGAAATATAGTTCGTAAAAAATCCACCGATGTTGACGATATGATCGTAAACGAATCCCTTGTGTCGTAGTCGTGAAACCGTCATTGTTCCGGTGCACAACAGACTCGTGGGAAAGGGCCTAATTTGAGGCTTAAATAGGGCCTAATGGCATCTTCCAGTGCGTCTAGTTCTTCACATCCTGAAGTTTGGTGCACACGGGTGATACAATATCCTTGTGATTTCGCAAGGATAATGCACCGTCAAGGATCACGAAGGTACTTTATTTTCAACCCAATAAGATATTTAAGAAAAGAAATAAATTCCTACCTTTGCTGGTTTCGTCAAAAATTACTTTAGAAAATGTCATTTTGCATAAAAATCCGCAGTCTACTAATGATATACTTAACGAAAGGAAGAAACGTCTACTTCTGCTTTTGTCTCTACGAATTATGTACTTCATAAAACGTCATTTTACATAAAAATCTGTAGTCTAATCATAAATGAATACATAGTCAAATAATATATTATTCCTGTAACAATTAACACAAGCATGTGATTCCACAAAGATACAGTGAATTCAAGTCGACAAAGTCTGACATGATCGGTTTCTGTCTACCGATCCTAATTTCGAAGGGACAATAGTCGGACGAACGTTGAGAAACAACCAAAGTCTCGCGATTCCTCGCGAATATTTCAAAGGATTCCATGCATCGCATTCGATCGCGTTATCTAACCGAATCCCGTCGTATAAAGAGAAGCGTTAATCGTTTCTGTTCCCTAAACACTAGAATGGTGACACGGAGAAACAAACGCTCGGCCGGCGAGCGAGCAAACCGACGCGCATCGCGACAGAGCCTCGGTCAATTATTATTAATTGGGACAGATATGCCTCGAGGCTAGCCATATTCCCCACGAACACGTACGTATCTGTTTCGAAGGAGTCGCACCACGAGGAAACCGTTTATTATCGATTGGACGCTCTCCACGTGCGTGTTCTGTGACGTCGTACCTCTGACAGTGTCTCTGACTTATGCAAGGTGCGACGGAATTCGTGATATACAATCCAGTATACTATAATACCTCTATAAAAAATGTTTCCTTATCCGAGAATAGTTCCGTGGAACGAAATGAATTTTTTTCGGAGTGACAGAGTATACTTGTCATTCGACTCCTGATTAAGCTAACTGCGATGTGCAGGCGAAACGTTAGCATCGATTCTCCAAAGAGACACGGTTTATATTTGACAGAAGAGACGGTGTGATTTTCTGGTCACCCAGGAGGGTAAGGAACGCCAGGAAACACGAGAATCGAGTGGAATACTGGATAGCAATAGCAACATCTTGACGCCAGGTCTCATAAAAGCGAGGGTGCTCGAGCACCGGAAGACAACGGGGAGACGTGACATTGTTCAGACACGGTATTCTTCGACAGCCTCGCCAACGTTCGTGAATGTCTTGCAGATGCTGGAGTTGTAGCGAGGGAAGGACACTTTTCCTGAATGACTTTCGCCAGGAAAACACAACGGACTCTGCAACGGTGTACATTTGAAGATCGAATTTAATCGAAGAGAATCTTTGCGTCTGCTGTAGTTGCA